GTGTTAGGAGATTTCAGTCCAAATATTTGGATGAACGATATTTTGAAACCGACAACTGGGAATTTGAGTTTATATGGAAATCAGTAATGGTTATGTTGCTAGAACAGTATACTCCGCCATATAAATAACCAAGCTGTGAAGTGTGCAATGTTCTCAGATCACAAAATGCAGGAATACTCTTGGACGCTTACCGACGGAAAGACACACAGTCATAATGACAGCGTCTTGGAAGACAGACGACAATCACATGCATTTGATGTCCAAGCTTCTAGAAGCGCTGTAATAATGACCACTATTTGGCGATTGCATAACCGATTAGAAGCATCAAGATGACCGACGTTTCGATGGAACTTATTTCTTCCATCATCAGGGCAATTATGATAGTATTATTAAAAAACAACAGAACTAAATTCTTACCAAGCAACAACGAACACCATACTGCCAGTTGGAAGATTTGTAAGATTGTAATATGCTGCCATTTTTATCTATGGACGTATCTTGAATGCAAAGAAATGTTTTAATTCCGATCGAACAGTCTGGGAAAATAAATAAATATTTGTTACGAGGAGCATCTCTCCCACTTTTCTTCTCCTTAAGGTTGTGAAAATATTATGGCTTAAAGAAGCTACTGCAGTTTATTCAACACAATTCAAATGAAATTAAAGGAAACAAATTCCTAGAATATAAATTCTTACTACAGACACGCCCACATATTTAACGCAATTTTAAAGTTGGGAAGATAATACGAATCTTATTCCAGTTTTTATTCTTAAAAATATCTTACTTTACGACCTGTAATTTCTGTTAAGTCGCTCTCCTGAGGTACTGTGATGGCGTCCCGACGCTCGGCGTCGGTTTTTCACTTTCATATGGTGCCTTCTGTGGACTTATCTCCGGTAACTTTGGCGTATTTCGAAGGCGTCGCCATGATCAACGTCGCAACGCTTAGCGTTTATTCACTGTCATTGTTATTAGTCTTATTGGATGCAAGCCAAGCATTGCGAAGGCTTTAGGATGCGCCAAGGTTAGGTTAGGTTGGGTTAGGGTAGGTTTGGTTAGGTTTGGTTAGATTAGGTTAGGTTTGGTTAGGTCAGGTTAGGTTTGTTTAACTGTGGATAGGTAAGTTTAGGTTAGGTTGGGTTGGGTTTGGTTAGGTTAGGTTAGGTTAGGTTAGGTTGTGAGGTTAGTGTAAGTTAGGTTAAGTTAGGTTAGGTTAGGTTAGACCATGTATATTGAACGGTATCCAATTCTCGCCCACGGCGCCATGAAGTGTTTCGTCCCACTGATCGGCGTCGACTATCTAGCATCATGCCCAACGTAATACAACGGGTTTGAC